ATCCTCATGATCGCCAAAATCCACGTTCTCGGGGTACAGGTACCGAAGCATCCAATTTTCCCAGCGCATAGTCCACAAATGGTTTCCAAATTTTCCAGAAAATATCTTCTTTATAGTCACCATTTCTAATTTTAATATCACATGTCATTTTATCATTTAAAGCTAATTTCCACATTTCACAATACCATTCTTCTAATCTAAAATTCACATCTAATTTCCAATATGAGAGAAATATTTTAAATAAATTGGGGTTCCTGGGACTTGTGGAGAGGGAGAAGGGTGGCTTCCTCTTGGGTCAGGTGAATAGAGAGCTTGAAAGAAAATTTAGTTTCTTTGTTGATAAGACTCTTGTAGGCACCAAGATTACAGAGTTGGAAGGGACCTTGGAGGTCTTCTAGTCCAACCCCCTGCTCAGGCGGAAACCTTACACAAGGTGGAAGAAGCACATGGTAATTCTCAGAGTGGAGGGCGTGAGTTGGCAGAGACGTCGAAATCGATGGTTTTCATTCCAAAATAATTATTTCTCTAGCTGTGTTTCTACTTGGGAACTCACTTAACGACCGTCTGGCTCAGCAACAGAAACTCTGGGCTCATTCTCGGTCGTAAGTCGAGGATTCCCCTGCCCCAAAGACTCCACCAGACTCAACACCAAATCTTGCTGAGGTCAGGAGCCTAACCATCCTTAAAAAATATGTCTGGATTTCTTTTTCTTTTCCCCCAAAAAATAAAATAAAATTGCGAAATGCTTGTACAAATTGTTAATTAAAGCCTGCACTTCTGGCTCTGTACTATTCTGTATTTTTGGCCTGGGGGGGGGGAACGATGGTTAAAATAAACTTTAATTCTAGAGACGGGGAAGAAGTGTGAGCAGAGTTTTTCATCGTGACCCCTCTGGCGCGATAAAGAGATATCCATGGCAACTGGGTTTCGGTGCTTGAGAAATTGTCTGTTGCTAATATTACTAATTCATGCCGGAGAAAATCTGTTGTGCTCGCTGCCTTTCGAGGTGAGCTTGGCTGCCATCACTTCGGCTGCTGCTCCTGCCGTCGGAACGAGCCATGCGAGGAGTCCTTGACTTAACGACGGTTCGTATAGTGACCGTGGGAAGTTTTCCATCCCCTCGGTCACGTAAGGGAAAAAAAATCAGGTGCTTGGCAACCGACTCATACTTATGACGGTTGCACTATCCCGGGGTCACGTGAGAAGAGGAAGAGGGAGAAGGAAGAAGAGGAGCAAGAGGAAGAAAATAAGAGGAGGAGAAACAAGAGGAGAGGAAGAGGAAGAAGCAGAAGAGAAGGAAGAGGAAGAGGAGGAGGAGAAAGAAGAAAAGGAGGAAGAAGAAGAGGAAGAGAAGGAAGAGGAAAAAGGGAGGAGAAGGAAGAGGAAGAAGAAGGAAGAGGAAGAAGAAGAGGAGGAGGAAGAAGGGAGAGGGAGAAGAAGAGAAGGAAGAGGAGCAAGAGGAAGAAAATAAGGAGGAGAAACAAGAAGAGAGGTAGAGGAAGAAGCGGAAGAGAAGGAAGAGGAAAAAGGAGGGAGAAGAAGAGGAAGAAGAGAAGGAGGAGGAAGAAGAAGGGAGAGGGAGAAGAAGAGGAGGAAGAGGAGCAAGAGGAAGAAAATAAGGGGAGGAGAAACGAGGAGAGGAAGAGGAAGAAACAGAAGAGAAGGAAGAGGAAGAAGAGAGAAGAAGAGGAAGAGAAGGAATAGGAAAAGAGGGAGAAGAAGAGGAAGAAGAAGAGAAGGAAGGGAGGAAGGAGAAGAGGAGCAAGAGGAAGAAAAGAGGAGAAACAGGAGAGGAAGAGGAAGAAGCGGAAGAGAAGGGAGAGGAGAAGAAGAGGAGGAAGAAGAAGAAGGGGAAGAAAAGGAAGAAGAAAAAGAAGAAGAGAAGGAAGAGGAAGAAGAAGAAGGGAGAAGGAGAAGAAGAGGAAATGAAAGAAGAGGAAGAAGAGAAGAAGAAGGGAGGGGGAGAAGAAGAGAAGAGGAAGAAAATAAAAGAAACAAGAGGAGAGGAAGAAGAGGAAGAGAAAGGAGGAAGGAGGAAGAAGAAGAGAAGGAAGAAGAAGGGAGAGGGAGAGGGAGAAGAAGAGGAAAAGAAAGAAGAGGAAGAGAAGGAAGAAGAGGAAAAGGAAGTGTTTCTGGGAATGATGACAAACGGGGGCCTCCGTTGTTTGAAAAGGGACCCTGTACGTAGCAGTCTTTCTCCACCTTGCTGGCTTGGGGACATCTGGACTACATTTCCCAGAATTCTCCAGCCACCCATGGGAATTCTGGGAGTAGAAGTCCACACATTTGTTGAAGGTTGCCAAAGTTGAAAAACACTGGAACAGATGGCTGGATGTCAAAAATTAATTTGGGAAGTTTCAGTTAATTCTAGAATACAAAAACTTCCTCCTTCCTTCCCACCCTCCCTTCTCTGACTTCGGCTTCTCTTCCTTTTCCTTCCTTTTTTTCCTTCCTTTCCTCCTTTTCCTCCCTCCCTCCCTGCCTTCCTTTTTTCCTCTTTCTTCGTCCCTCTTTCTTTTCATACTGCCTCCCTCCCTTCCTTCTGTCATTCTTATCTTCCTTCCTTCCTCCTTCCCTCCCTTCTCTGACTTCAGCTTCTGTTCCTTTTCCTTCCTTCCTTCCTTCCTTTCCTTTTCTACCCTCCCTCCCTCCCTATCCTTCCTCCCTCCTTTCCTCTCTTCATTCCTTTCTTCTTCCCTCTTCCTTTCCATGCTCCCTGTTCCTTTCTTTATCCCCTCCTTCCCTTCTTTCCTTCCCTTGTTCTTATCTTTCCTCCTTCCTTCCTCCCTTCTCTGACTTCAGCTTCTGTTCCTTTTCCTTCCTTCCTTCCTTTCCTTTTCCACCCTCTCTCCCTCTCCTTCCTTCCTCCTTTCCTCTCTTCATTCCTCTCTTCTTCCCTCTTTCTTTCCATGCTCCCTCTTCCTTTCTTTATCCCCTCCCTCCCTTCTTTCCTTCCCTTGTTCTTATCTTTCCTCCTTCCTTCCTCCCTTCTCTGACTTCAGCTTCTGTTCCTTTTCCTTCCTTCCTTCCTTTCCTTTTCCACCCTCTCTCCCTCCCTCTCCTTCCTTCCTCCTTTCCTCTCTTCATTCCTCTCTTCTTCCCTTCCTTTCCATGCTCCCTCTTCCTTTCTTTATCCCCTCCCTCCCTTCTTTCCTTCCCTCGTTCTTATCTTTCCTCCTTCCTTCCTCCCTTCTCTGACTTCAGCTTCTGTTCCTTTTCCTCCCTCCCTTCCCTTTCCTTGGCTCACCCTTCCAGAGGGATCCGGGATCCCTTGGACCTCCTCATTCCTGGGCCAGCAAAGGGATCTCTACTCCTCTCCACTTTCCCTCCCTCGTTCCTTTTCCCCTTTGGAGCCGCATCTGGGCATCTCTGGCCGGACCGGCCGGTGCAACCTGAGGAGGAGGCAGGTGAGATGGAGCCCTCCGAGCCTCGGCCCGGGCGGTGAGTCCAGGTGGATCAGGGAAGGGGAGCCCAACTCCCCGCGGCTGCCCGCACCGGGCTGGGCACGTGGCCCACTCTGGCTGCCCCATGCCAGCCTCTGGGGTGGCTGAATGGCAGAGGCACTTTGAGGGATGCTTTTGTGACTCACCGTCTGGAACAGCGGGGGCCTCATATTCGCTGCCCCCCCCCACCCCTGAACTCGGGGCTCTCAACCAACCTGAAATCACCAAGGCGACTAATGCCACTCCGGGCGGAGGCCTCGGTTGGCAAATGCTGGCAGGGTCTCTCGCAGGCAGCAAGCGGAGGGGTGGGGGCGAGTGGCGTCTTTTCACCCGATTCCTCCCAAAGGGGCTGATTTCCTATCGATTTCTGCTTTGAAATGTCCTCCTGTCGCTTCCAAAGGAAGCTTTTTATGGGGGGGGGGATAAAGACCACTTTGCCAGCCGTTGCCTGCATTAGCTCCCCTCCCCCCACCCTCTGCACACACAGCAGCCACAGGTGACCAAGCAGAGATCAGGATCAATGATATCATACGTATCAGTTCCCTTATAATAGTCCTCCTCCTCTCCTCCCTCCCTCTCTCCCCTTCCTTCCTTCCTTCCCTCCCTCCCAATTTCCTTTCTTCCCTCCCTCCCTCTCATTGCCATCTCTTTCCTTCCTTCTTTCCCTCCCAATTTCCTTCCTTTCTTTCCTCCCTCTCATTGCCATCTCCTTCCTCCTCCTCTCCTCCCTCCCTCTCTCCCCTTCCTTCCTTTTCCCTCCCTCCCTCCCAATTTCCTTCCTTTCTTCCCTCCCTCTCATTGCCATCTCCTTCCTTCCTCCTCCTCTCCTCCCTCCCTCTCTCCCCTTCCTTCCTTTCCTTCCTTTATTCCCTCCCTCTCATTGCCATCTCCTTCCTTCCTCCTCCTCCTCCTCCCTCCTTCTCTCCCCTTCCTTCCTTCTTTCCCTCCCAATTTCCTTCCTTTCTTTTCTCCCTCTCATTGCCATCTCCTTCCTTCCTTTCTCCTCCTCTCCTCCCTCCCTCTCTCCCCTTCCTTCTTTCCCTCCCTCCCAATTTCCTTCCTTTTTTCCCTCCCTCTCATTGCCATCTCCTTCCTTCCTTCCTCCTCCTTTTCTTCCTTTCTTCCCCCCTTTCATTGCCATCTCCTTCTTTCCTTCCTCCCCTCCTTCCTCCCCTCCCAATTTCCTTCCTTTCTTCCCTCCCTCTCATTGCCATCTCCTTCCTTCCTTCCTCCTCCTTTCCTTTCTTTCTCCCCCCCTTTCATTGCCATCTCCTTCTTTCTTTCCTTCCTCCCCTCCTTCCTCCCCTCCCAATTTCCTTCCTTCCTCCCCTCCCTCTCATTGCCATCTTCTTCCTTCCTCTCCCTCCCTCCCTCCTTCCTAATTTAATTTAATTTATATTTTATTTTATTACTTATACATTATATATTGTATACATTTTTATACACACAGATGTATATGTATACATTTTCAGAGTCTATACTAATTAAAGATAAAAGAGCCCAGATGGGTTGGCCAAGGCCTCACCTGCGCTTTCTCTTCTTGCTCTCCCTGTCCAGGTGACTTCCCACCGCCCCCTCCCCCTCCCCCACCGCCCCCCCTCTCATCCGACCACCTGGGGAGCTTCCCGCCAGCCTCGGGGTCTTTCCTGCCGCCTCCGCCCCCTCCGGAGGAAGCTTTTGCCAACATCCAGGTAAGAAGCTTCTTTTGACTAGTCATGAAATAATAGGAGGAATCCAATACAGGCAGTCCTCGACTTACAACACTCCATTTAGTGACCATTGGAAGTTATCCCACACTGGAAAAATGGGACTGGAGAACCGGTAGCGGAAATTTTGAGTCGTTTGGAGAACTGGTAGTAAAAATTCTGACTGCCCCCCCCCCGCCCCCCATCTATTCTCTGCCTCCCGAGTCCCAGCTGATCGGGAGGGAATGGGGATTTTGCAGTATCCCTCCCCTGGAGTGGGGTGGGAATGGAGATTTTACAGTATCCTTCCCCTGCCACGCCCACCAAGCCACGCCCACAGAACCGGTAGTAGTAAAAAATTTGAATCCCACCACTGCGGTTGTGAAATGGGGCAAAACTCACCCAACGACTGTCTCACTTAGCGACATAAATTTTTTGGCTGAAGGATGGTTGTAAATCGAGGGCTACCTGTAGATTAATATCTCTTTAGATCTACCCAGGGACCCCCTTTGTGGAAGATCTACCTCCATCAGCACCATGGCTGAATTTCACACTATCTTAACTGTATTTTCAATCAATCAGAATAGAAGCGGGAAGGGACCTTAGAGGTCTTCTAGTCCAGCCCCCTGTTCAAGCAGGAGACCCTATACTATCTCAGACAAGTGGCTGTCCAGTCTCTTCTTAAAAACCTCCAGTGATGAAGCAGCCACAATTTCTGGTGGCAAGCAGTTCCACTGGTTAATTGTCCTCACTGTTAGGAAGTTCCTCCTTAGTTCTAGGTTGCTTGATTAGTTTCCATCTATTTCCTTCCTTCCTTCCTTCCTTCCTTCCTTCCTTCCTTCCTTCCTTCCTTCCTTCCTTCCTCCCTCCCTCCCTCCCTCCCTCCCTCCCTCCCTCCCTCCTCTGTCCTTCCTTCCTTCCTTCCTTCCTTCCTTCCCTCCCTCCCTCCCTCTTATTACCATCTCCTTCCTCCTCTGTCCTTTCTTTCTTTCTTTCTTTCTTTCTTTCTTTCTTTCTTTCTTTCTTTCTTTCTTTCTTTCTTTCTTTCTTTCTTTCTTTCTTTCTTTCTTTCTTTCTTTCTTTCTTTCTCCCCTCCCTCCCTCCCTCCCTCTCATTGCCATCTCCTTCCTTCCTCCTCCCCCCTCCCTCCTCCTCCTTTCCTTCTTTTCTTCCCTCCCTCTCATTCCCATCTCCTTCCTTCCTTCCCTCCCTCCTCCTTTCCTCCCTCCCTCCCTCTGTCCTTTCTTTCTTTCTTCCCTCCCTCCCTCCCTCTCATTGCCATCTCCTTCCTTCCTCCTCCCCCCTCCCTCCCTCCCTTCCAGAATTACAGGACTGCAAGGGATCTCTGAGGTCCAGCCCCCTGCTCAAGCCGGAGACCCCGTACCATCTCAAACAAAATGGCTGTCCAGTCTCTTCTTTAAAACTTCCGGTGATGGAGCTTCTACAACTTCTGGTGGCAAGTTGTTCCACTGGTTAATTGTCCTCACTGTTAGGAAGTTCCTCCTTAATTGCAGGTTGCTTCTCTCCTTGATGAGTTTCCATCCATTGTTTCTTCTCCTGCCTTCTGTTGCTTTGGAAAATAAATTGATCTCCCCTCTTCTTTGGGGCAGCCCCTCAAATACTGGAAGATGCTATCATGTCTCCCTTCGTCCTCCTTTTCTCTAGACTGGCCAAACCCAAATCCTGCAACCGTTCTTCGTATGTTTTGATTGTCTTAGTTGTTCTTCTCTGCACTTTTTCCAAAGTCTCAACCTCTTTTTTGTAATATGGGGGCCAAAACTGGATGCAGCATTCCAGATGTGGCCTTACCAAGAGTTTATAAAATGGTACTAATACTCCACATGATCTTGATTCCATGCCTCGGTTTATGCAACCCAGGATTTTATTGGCTTTTTGACATATTAAACTCCATTATGGGTACAAATACGACACCTTGAATTAACGATGGTTAGTCGAAAGAAGATTTATTTCCTAACCAATTTTTATTTTAATTTGATTTATATGCTTCTGAGACTCAGGGCGGCTTACAATGCATTAAGCAATAGCCTTCGTTTTTGTATATTTATACAAAGTCAGCTTATTGCCCCACAATCTGGGTCCTCAATTTATGCAACTCTGGAGGTTGAATGTTTATGTCAAGTATTTGCAAGCCATTGGCACATGTGTCATATAGACACCAGTGGAGGCAGAGAGTGTCTCCACCCCTATGTGGAAACTGAGTATTACCCTGAGTATAAAACCCCCTCCAACCTTTTCCACCTCTCTGGCTCTCTCCATCTCTCTCTTTTCACGTTTGTTCCTCATGAGACTTGATCTCTGTTGTACATAGTTAATATGATTTATCATATGAATAAATACGTTTAAGACATTTATTCATGCATCTGCCTCCGAACTCTGCTATGCTCCTGGGTGTTTCTACGATCCCAACTCCACAGTTTATTTAGGGGTTACACTGCTATCCCACCTTTCTTTCAGAAGCTCCTCCCATTTCCCTCCCCCCCGCACAACAACAACCCTGTAGTGTAGACCGGACTTAAAAAAAATGTACGATTGCCCCCCGAATCACTTTCTGGCTAAGAGGGTATTTCTGTGTATTTCTGAGTGTATTTCTGAGTGTCCCTGGGGCCAGTGAGGACAATTAGCCAATGGAACAGCTTGCCACTAGAAGTTGTGGGTGCTCCATCGCTGACGGCTTATAAAAAGAGACTGGACAGTCACTTGTCTGTCATGGTCTCGGGTTGTGATGGTGAACCTATGGCCATCGCCCAGCTCATGTCCACTGTGCATGTGTGCGCACCTCTTGCCTGCCAGCTGATTTTCGGGATGCGCAGGGGGTGCATGCAGGAGACACGCGTGCATACGCGGGGGGGGTCACATGTGCTTGTGCAGGGGGCAAGGGAAACGCAGGGGGAGCAGCGTGCATGTTGCGGAAGAGCGGAAACAGGCCCATTTCCGGCCTCTGGAGGGGCCTCCGGAGCGTGGGGAGGCCGTTTTCACCCTCCCGGAGGCTCGGATTAAGCCTCCGGAGCCTGGGGAGGGCGAAAAATGCACGAGGTGCGTGCATTGCATTATGGGTGCCGGCACTCATGCACACTGTCATGCACACTTTTGGCACCCGAAGAGAAAAAGGATAGCCATTATTGGTCTAGGGTCTCCTGCTTGAGTAGGGGGCTGGACTAGAAGACCTCCGGGGTCCCTTCCAGCTCTGTTCTATTTTAAATGCGGTTAAAATTAGCGGGAGAAATGTATGTATTTAAGCAGCGTATGGCAGCTGGAGAAATAATCAAGGAACGTCGTTGCTGTACGCATTTCCTTGAACCCACAACATCCCTGATTCATTTTAACTAGAATCCTTGGGAGTCCATCTCACAAGCTTCGCCACCAATTGCTTGGCTCTCGATCGCTTGTTGAGTGGCCCTTCTTCCGTTTTTAATGCCCAAATGTGTTTTTTTTTTCCCCCGCTTCCAAAGAGCACATTTGGGGGTGTGGAGTAGCCACCGAGTACAATTGGTGGCATATTAAGATTTATTAAACGATCGTGCCTCCCAACAGTCCGACTCCTGTCGGTTACGGGAAGATAAATTTCAAGAAAGGGTAAAGGAAAAAGGAGGAGAATAAAATATTGATTGTAAGCTAAATAAACAAAAGAGAGAGAGAGAGAGAGAGATTTAAACTCACCACTGGAGGAACAGGCAAGTCTACAATGAACTCTTAAGCCAACGGTAACCATCATAGTCGTAAACCAGCCTAATGATGGTGGATTGCCACATCCCAGAAGCACTCCGGAAGATGTTGCTGGCTTTGGGAAGATCAATTGACTCACTTTTATGACAGTTGTGGTGTCCCGGGGTCATGTGATCTCTTTTTGTGACCTTCTCATAAGCCAAATCAACGGGGAAGCCAGATTCACTTAAGAACCATGCAACTAACTTAACAGCTGCAGTGATTCCCTTAACAACAAGGCAAGAATGGTCGTAATGTGGGGCAAAATTCACTTAACAACTGTCTCGCTTAGCGACAGAAATTTTTGGACTTAAACCGGTAGTGCAGAACCTGCAGAGTGGATCCCAGCTGATCTCACCAATCGGCATTGTGCCTGGTTCAGCTCCTGAGTGGTCTTAAGAGGCAGACCCACGAAGAGAGCACTGCAGAAGTCCAGCTGTATGATGAGAAGGGTGTGAGCCCCTTTTTGGGGGGATCTTCTCGTAAACTTTTGGCAAACCCCAATTCAGGACAAGTTGCAAAATGCTTGCAGCGCCCAGAAAGGAAAGTGAGGGAGCAACGTCTCCCCACCTGTGGAGCTGTCCAGGGTCCTGATTGTGCAGCCAGAATTCTTTTCTCTCGCCTCACATCTGGCTGCTTCATAGAAACATAGGGCTGGAAGGGACTTTGGAGGTCTTCTAGTCCAACCCCTACCCAGGATATAGAAGCAAAGGCAGAAAGGGACCCTGGAGGTCTTCAAGTCCATCCCCCTGCCCAAGGTCATGGAATCATAGGGCTGGAAGGGACTCTGGAGGTCTTCTAGTCCAACCCCTTCGCAAGATATAGAAGCAAAGGCTGGAAGGAATCCTGGAGGTCTTCTAGACCAACCCTCTGCCCAAAATCATGGAATCATAGGTTGGAAGGGACCCTTGAGGTCTTCTAGTCCAACCCCTTGCCCCAAATCATGGAATCATAGGGCTCAAAGGGATCTGGAAGTCTTCTATTCTAACCCGCTGTCCAAGATCATAGAATATAAGAGCCTTGGTGGCGCAGCGGACTAAAGTGCTGTTACATAGCACTTAGCTGCCAGCTGCCTGCAATTACTGCGAGTTCAAATCTCACCAGGCTCAAGGTTGACTCAGCCTTCCATCCTTCCGAGGTAAGTAAAATGAGGACCCGGATTGTGGGGGCAATAAGCTGACTTTGCATATAAAAAAGAACACCGCTTGGGGGGGGGCGAAAGCCCTACTAAGCAGGTATATACAAAGACATGAAGGCTATTGCTTAACGTATTGTAAGCCGCCCTGAGTCTCCGGAGAAGGGCGGCATATAAATCGAACCAATAAATAAATAAATAATCATAGAGCTGGAAGAGATCTGGAGATCTTCTAGTCCAACCGCATGCCCAAGGCAGGAGTCCTTATACCCTCCTGGACAAAAAAAACCCTGTGCAATCTTTTTTTCGAAAACCTCTTGTTTCAAGGTCCACAGCCAGACGTAGCTGCCTTCCACAACCAGTTGTACCCACTCTTCTGCCATCAGCCAACATGGTGAACCATAAGTCTCTTCCTTGGGCTGTACTCATGTTGCACACCGAAAACAGACTTTCCCCCGTTGCTGTGGGAAACCTCTGGAGTGTAGTAAATACTCTGGAGCATGTGGGAAGTGTCACTCACTTAGAAACGGAGCCGGAGAGGAGTGACACCTGATCTCCTGACCTGCTATTTATTTATTTTTTAATTTGATTTATATGCCGCCCTTCTCTGGAGACTCAGGGCAGCTTACAATGCGTTAAGCAATAGCCTTCATCCTTTTGTATATACCTGCTTAGTAGGGCTTTCGGCCCCCCCTAAGCGGTGTTCTTTTTTTTATACAAAGTCAGCTTATTGCCCCCACAATCCGGGTCCTCATTTCACCTACCTTAGAAAGGATGGAAGGCTGAGTCAACCTTGAGCCTGGTGAGATTCGAACCCTGCAGTAATTGCAGGCAGCTGGTCTTAATAACCAGCTTAATAACAGGGTGCCTTAAACCCCTGTACTACCAAGGCTCTTTTACTTAGTAAGGCCACACTTGGAATCCTGCATCCTGTTTTGGCCACCCCAATGTAAACCCGACATTGAGACTCTGGAAAGAGTGCAGAGAAGAGCAACAAAGAGGAATGGGGGATGATTGGAGGCTAAAACATACGAAGAACGGTTGCAGGAACTGGGTAGGTCTAGTTTAATGAAAAGAAAAAACTAGGGTGACATGATGGCAGTCTTCCAATATCTCAGGGGCTGCCCCAAAGAAGAGGGAGTCAAGCTATTCTCCAAAGCACCTGAAGGCAGGACAAGAAGCAATGGGTGGAAACTCATCAAGGAGAGAAGCAACCTAGAAATAAGGAGAAATTTCCGGACAGTTAGGACAATTAATCAGTGGAACGACTTGCCACCAGAAGTTGTGAATGCTCCAACATTGGAGGTTTTTAAGAAGAGACTGGGCAGCCATTTGTCTGGAATGATATAAGGTTTCCTGTCTGAGCAGGGGGCTGGACTAGAAGGCCTCCAAGGTCCCTTCCACTTCTGTTATTCTGTAATCCCAGAATCAGTGGAACAGCTTGCCTCCAGCCATCACTGGAGGCTTTTAAGAAGAGAGCGGACAACCGTTTGTCTGGAATAGCATAGGGTGTAATATTGAATATTACGCCCTATGCCTGAATATATTGAGTATATTTAATATTACACCCTATGCCTGAATATTGTTAATCCCCGCAATTTATTCCATCCAGCCTCATTTTGGGTTCGTTCGGATAGGCCAACTAGTCGCAGCATTTTTATTTTATTTTTAGCCACACAAACATTCTCCTTTAAAAAACCAATCTGCTTCTTAAAAAATTACCATGCCTTCTGCTCGAGCAGGGGGTTGGACTAGAAGACCTCTAAGGTCCCGTCCAACTCTGTTACTCTGCGTCCTACTTCTAACCTTGGTGACGATGGGGGTGCGAGGGGGCAGTTTTGACATCAAGGATGGCTTGATGTGGAGGAAGAGAGCTGCGATGCGTGCCCGGAAGGCTGATTTCATGGCAGAAGCAGTATTGTCGGCCGCTTCCCATAAGGTTTATTTTCACCATCCTCGGCATGGCACTCAGCCGGGTTGGGCATTTCCAGGAACGTCGGATTCCTCCTTGCCAAGGCTCCCTCCCCCTGGCATTGTTCGCCACGCCAGGTTGCCACCCCAGCCTTGGAATTCTACCAAAGAGCTCATTAAATCTTTATTCGTGTCACACCCTCCGTCCCCCAGAAGAAGGGGAGGATGGCAGAGGTGCCAAGACATCAGGAGGGTTAACGGAGGCCGTAATTATCGATAATGAGCCCTGGGCTGTAATTTGATTTAATTGGAAAGGAAAGGAAGAGGTTGGCTCACCGGCTTCTTGGGATCTGTTCTCTAGAATCGCTACTTGGAGTAGCTGTTAGGGACACGAAGGAGGCCTCGATCGACTTGCCTCCGGAGGTTGTGGAGGCTCCAACATTGGAAAAGAGAAGCTTTGTAGCTCAGGGTGGAACTGTGGGGTCCTTGGTGGTCTCTGAGCTTGGTGGTTTTCTTGCAGATGTTTCATGACCCAACTAGAGCAGGGGTCTCCAACCTTGGCAACTTTAAGCCTGGAGGACTTCAACTTCCCCAGCTGGCTGGGGAATTCTGGGAGTTGAAGTCCTCCAGGCTTAAAGTTGCCAAGGTTGGAGACCCCTGAACTAGAGAACATAATCAGTGTTAGGGGTTTGCAGAGAGGAAGAGGAGGAGAACTTTGGGGTCCTGGATGCTCTTTGAGCTTGGTAGTTTTCTTGCAGCTTTCATTGCTGCAACATCATCAGTGCTAAAAGGGAGTGGGGTTCACAGTGAAGAAGAAGAGGAAGAGGAGGAGGAGGAGGAAGAGGAGCAGGAAGAAACCGAAAAGGACTGTGAGGTCCTTGATGCTCTCTGAGCTTGATGGTTTTTCTTGCAGACATTTCATGACCCTACTAAGTAACTTCATCAGTGTATTGGTGATGTTACCTAGTTTGGTAATAAACTCAATCAAGAAAACTCAGAGATCACCAAGGACCCTACAACTCATAAACTCATCTGTAGAAGACCCCATCTAAATGTTGTTTGGAAAGAACGCAGTAGAGGTTCCTCACCAAAAGTTCCTCTCAAGCTTCAGCCATTCCTAAAGGTCATGACGACACGTCCGACGTTCACGCTACGTAGAATCCTTTCCCAAGCCTCTTTGAAGGTGTCTCTTTCTCTTCCTTCTCAGGTCAACTCTGGCGGGAAGACGTTGGAAGAGAGGAGATCCAGTTTGGATGCGGAGATCGACTCCTTGACCAGCATCCTTGCAGACCTGGAAAACAGCTCACCTTACAAGCCAAGGAGCCAACAGGTGAGATGCGGGAGACAGGAAGGGGCTGCAGGAGGCCTATGGTCTCCTGTGATGTGCAGAATTGATGCTGCTGAGATGTTCCCAAATCAATATTCATGGAGCTTGTCAATCATCCAAGTTATGGTTGTCCCAAAGGTGTTTTTTCCAAAAAGGCAACTGGACTTCCTTGGAAATGTTTTTTCCTTGGAAACGTTTCGTTTCTCATCCAAGAAATTCCTGAATTATTTTTGCTTTTTCCTTGAAAATATTTCACTTCTGTTCCAAGATGTTTCTGAACTTTCTTCGTGTTTTCCTTGAAAACGTTTCGCTTCTCATCCAAGAAGCTTCTGAACTTTCTTTCTTTTTTTCCTTGAAAAAGTTTCGCTTCTCATCCAAGAAGCTTCTGAACTTACTTTCTTTTTTTCCTTGAAAAAGTTTCGCTTCTCATCCAAAAAGCTTCTGAACTTCCTTTATTTTTTCCCTTGAAAACATTTTGCTTCTCATCCAACAACCTTATTCAGTTCTTTAACTTAGGGCCAGGGTCCCCAACCCCTGAGCCGCAGCCCATGGCTGGGCCGCAGCCTGTTTGAAACGGGCCATGGAAGAGATGGAACAAGTGTGTGTGGCGCTCCAGGTGCAAGCACAAGTGTTCTCCTCTCAAGCAACATCACTGCTTGTGTGAGGGGAGTTTCGCACACGAGCCAAGTGCCTGCCACTCGCGTGAGTTGAGCATCATATGCAAGGGCAAGCATCGCGACCACAAGCAAATGGAGCGTGCAAAGCTCCATTTGCACGAATGGAGGGAACACGTGCTTGCTACTCGCACAAATGCAGCTGTGCACGTGGGTGTGGTTTGCCACTTACACACCCCCTCGACTCTGCCAGGCCAGGTGGCCAAGCCCGAAAGACTGGGGACCTCTGATTTAGGATCCCCAACTCCAGGCCGTGGACTGTTCCCGGGCCATGGCTCATTGGGAACTGGGCCACTGCAGCAGTGTGCAAGCGTGCAAATCTTCATTTGTCCTAGGCCCAGGATTCTTCAATATCTTCATAAACGACTTAGATGAGGGAATAGAAGGGGAACTTCACAAATTTGCGGATGATACTAAGCTGGCAGGAATAGTCAACACCCCAGAAGATAGGCTCAAAATCCAGATGGATCTTGACAGACCTGAAACCTGGGCCCTATGTAACAAAATGAAATCCAATGTAGAGAAAAGTCAAGTCTTACACTTAGGCAAGAGAAACCAAAAGTAGACATATAGAGTGGGTGAAACGAGGCTTAATAGCAGTGACTGGAAGAAGGATCTTGGAGTCTTAGTGGACAACCAATTAAATATGAGCCAGCTGTGTGCAGCAGCAGCCAAAAAAACCAATGCAATCCTAAATTGCATTAACAGAGGGATACAATCAAGATCAAGGGAGGTACTAATACCACCCTATAAAGCCTTAGTAAGACCACACCTAGAATCCTGCATCCAGTTTTGGTCACCACACTGTAAAAAAAGAGGTTGAGACTCTAGAAAAAGTGCAGAGAAGAGCAACCAGGATGATTAGGGGACTGGAGGCTAAAACATACAATGAATGGTTGCAGGAACTGGGCATGGCTAATCTAGGGAAGAGAAGGACCAGGGGAGACAGGATAGCAGTCATTAACCTTTTAATTACAAATTAATTACAAAATGAAGTAATGTAGTTTGTCAACTTTTTCTTCCTGCTGCCTCTCTTATTATTATTTTCTCTTTGATTCATTGATCGATCGGGAAAGATTTATCCATTGGCGTCGGCTTCCTGGCAGCATTGAAAACGAGGTGTCAGCTACCAATTTTTCCAACCGGCGTATGTAGTCGAGGCTTTCAAAATCATTGTTCTCCTCCTGCAGCGACTATATTAAAGAATTACTGGCTTAAGGAGAAGAAACCAAGGTTCATTTGCTCCTTCTTGAGATGTGAGAGGTTATAACGGATCCTGGCTTACCTGCTTAGAGAAGGAAGGAAGGAAGGAAGGAGAGGAACATTTCAAATAATTGCCAACTGGTAGCCGGTGGCGTCTCAAGCAGAGAAGGAATTTGCAGATTTGGGGTGATTTTGCAAGTGTGAGATGTCAAATCTCTTCCCTGCTGTTCCTTTCTTCCTTGTTCCTTTATTTTATTTTATTTTATTTTATTGCTTTCAGCCAGTAACAGGGTCCTAAAATGTTGGGCAAGGGATCCATCGCTCAGGCGTAGAAGAGTTTGAGCAATTTGTTGGGCCTTGGCGAGCAACAAATTCTTTATCGAGAAAGAGAGCAGAGGCTGTTAGAAAGAGTGCAGAGAAGAACCGCAGAGGGGGATCAGCGGTCTGGAGGCTAAACTATATGATGAAAGTCCCAAAGTTGCTTTTTCTTTCAAGAGGCAATTGGACTTTCTGGTTTTTCCTTTTGAAGAGGTTTCGCTTCCCATCCAAGGAGCTTCTTCAGTTCTGATTAAATGGAGAATGGAAGGATTGATACTCCTTGCAGACAGCTGGTCATTTGCATCCTTTTAGAGGGTCGTTGAGGCCACTTGGAGGTTTATCTGGGTCACTTCAGTGGTGCAAATGGGGGTGGAGCCTCATCGAAATCACCTATTTCCAGCGTACAACACGGTCCTTTCAGCAGTTCCAGCCCCATTTGCACCACTCAGGTGACCCTGAGGACACAGATAGACCTCCAGGTGGCTTCAAGGACCCTCTGAAAGGATGCCAATGACCAGCTGTCTGCAAGGAGTATCAATCCTTCCATTCCTCACCATTCAGTCAGAGCTGAAGAAGCTTTCTGGATGAGAAGCGAAAGGTCTTCAAAAGAAAATCCAGAAAATCCAGTTGCCTCTTGGGAAAAAAAACACCTTTGGGACAATCAGGACCTGGATGATGGAGAATCTCCGTAGACCAGTGTTTCTCAACCTTGGAAGCTTGAAGATGGGTGGACTTCAACTCCCAGAATCCCCCAGCCAGCGCTGCTGGCTGGGGGATTCTGGGAGTTGAAGTCCACCCATCTTCAAGCTACCAAGGTTGAGAAACACTGCCGTAGACATTTAGCTGTATGATGAATGGTTGAGGGAACTGGTAATGTCGAACGAAGAGAAGGGCTCGGGGTGACATGATTGCTCCCACTTTGGGATCGGCTTAAGATCGTGAGAGGGATCTTGACTGAGTTGAATACTGGTTAATGGTTAGAGTGCAGCATTGCAGGCTAACTCTGCATTCCCGCAGCCAGGAGTTCGATCCTGACCGGCTCGAGGTTGACTCGGCCTTCCATCTTTCCGAGGTCGCTAAAATGAGGGCCCAGATTGTTGGGGGCAACAGGCTGGCTCTGTAAAACGCTTAGAGAGGGCTGGAAAGCACTGTGAAGCGGTATATAAATCCAAGTGCTAATGCTTGGGAAGGAAGGGAGGGAGGGAGGGAGGAAAAGGAAGGAAGGAAATTAGAATGAGAGGAAGGAAAGAAGGAGGGAAGGAAGGAAGGAAGGAAGGAAGGAAGGAAGGAAGGAAGGAAGGAAGGAAGGAAAGAGAAAGAAAGAAAAAGAAAGAAAGAAAGAATGAATGAATGAATGAATGAAGAATGAATGAATGATAAGGAAGGAAGGAGAAGGGAGAAAGGAAAGGAAAGAAAGGGAAAGAGAAAAAGGAAAGAAAGAAAGAAAAGAAAGAAGGAATGGAGAAAGGGAGAAAAAAGGAAGGGAGGGAGGGAGGGAGGAAGAGGGGATTATAAAGTACTGTGAAGCAGTTATTTTTTTCTTTCTGCCTTCCTTCCTTCCTTCCTTCCTTCCTTCCTTCCTTCCTTCCTTCCTTCCTTCCTTCCTTCCTTCCTTCCTTCCTTCCTTCCTTGGTGGCACAATGGTTAGAATGCAGTATTGCAGGCTGACTCTGCCCACAGCCAGGAGTTCAATCCTGATAGACTCAAGGTTGACTCAGCCTTCCGTCTTTCTGAGGTTGCTAAAAGGAGGACTCAGATTGTTGGGGGCAAGAGGCTGTAAAATGCTTATAGGGCAGTACAAGACAGGGCTTTACAACAGAAATATGGGGCTCCCTTGTGGTCGTAAATCGAGGACTACCTGTATATGATTCAGGATATGCTGCTAATCCTGAAACTGGGTTGGTTCCCAATTTAAGGCCATAAAATGGAGCCAAACTCATTTAACAACTGTCTTGCTTAGCAACGGAAATGTTGGGCTCAATTGTGCCCTTAAGTCGAGAACTTTCCGTACTTTTTCGATAGGTGTTGTTTGTTTTTTATTTCTCATCCTCCCCTCCCATTGAACGATGCATTCTGTTATTCCTCAGCACAGCTAGTCCTCGGCTTACGACCATGACGGAGGCCAAAATTCCATTAAGAGGGACGTTCTTTAAGTGGGTTTGGCCCCATTTCACAACCTTCCTTGCCACTGTTAAGCGAATCACTGAGGTTGTTAAGTGAGTAACACCGTTGTTAAGCGAATCTGGCTTCCCCTTTGACTTGGCTCATCAGAAGGTCGCAAAAGGGGACCACGTGACCCCAAGAAACTGCGACCGTCATAAATATGAGTCATTTGGGACTCTCTCCATACTCCCCTTCCGAAATTTCAATTTTGGGGTGAGCCAAGCCACCGATAATAATTTCAACCGTATTAGAACATATAGACAGCTAATCCTCGATTTACGACCACAGTTGACCCCAAAATTTCTGTTGCTAAGGGAGACTGTTTGCTCAGTGTGTTTTACCCCATTTTATGACCTTTCTTGCGGCAGATGTTAAATGAATCACTGCAATCAATTTTTTTTTTATTTGATTTATATGCTGCCCTTCTCCAGAGACTCAGGGCGGCTTACAATGCGTTAAGCAATAACCTTCATACTTTTGTATATTTATGCAAAGTCAGCTTATTGCCCCCACAAACCGGGTCCTCATTTCACCTACCTTAGAAAGGATGGAAGGCTGAGTCGACCTTGAGCCTCGTGAGATTTGAACTCACAGTAATTGCAGGCAGCTGATGTTAATATCAGCACTGTTAATAACAGTGCTTTA